CCTGTTACCCTAAAGGACTCCATGATTTTTCCCTCTCTCTATCTGCAGAGAGGTTCCCCTTGTCTGTGGAAGTAGGGCAACTTTCTTGACTTCCTCCATTCTCAATGGTTCAGATGTAGAACTTGTAGGAAGAAATCCCCAGACACTCCTCATCAATCTTTTGCTTACCTTTCAATTCTCCCATTTTTTTTTCTCTTTCCCACTTCTCAGTTTGTGTCTTCCACCATCCTTATATCCTCTGATACAGTCAGCCCAAAGAGAGCACCTCCACTGGTGCTCTCTGTTTCTTGTTTRGCAGAGAGAAACTTCAGTCCTGAAGGCCCTTCTGAAACTTGTCTGATTTGGAGAACAGGCACCTCATGGAGATTTTCAAGACAAGTGTCAAGTCCTACTCATAGTGGGGGACGACTGTGTCCATGTAGACAGGTGAAGAGAACTCAAAGAGTAGGCCTGTGGTGCTCCAGGTCTCTGAGAGATCTCTGTGATCATCCTCTGGCTTTGTGTTTCAAGGAGAAACAAGGGAAGAGAGAGAGACATGTCTGGAGGGARGGAGGTCCATGGTGAGAGGAAGGTGMCAAACTGTCTTTGTCCCCTTGCCATGGCTGGTGTCTCTGCCACTGAGGCCTTTGAGAAGCGGCAGTTTCCTTAAATCCCCATGGCCTCACAGCCTCCTCACATTCAGGGAGCCCAGGAGATGCCATATTGCTGTCCTGCACTTCTTGCATGCCCTTACCCTCACAGTGCTCCCAGAAAGAGCYCTGAGCAACATGTGGAGGAAAGGATCACCCTGYCCACGGGCTGTGTGTCAGTGCCTGTACAGTCTACCTGACCAAGCACGTCAAGGTTGACATGGCATCAGAGACATCTGCACATTGCCTTTGCCTGCCCACAAGCAGCACCTCCAATGTTCTGCTTTATGAGCCCCTGGGGAGCCTTCTTTGGTAACAACCCTCAGTGGGACCCATTAATGCTCCAAGAAACTTTTGGATTTTCTTCTGACTTCAGCTTCTTGAGGACTTAGTTCAATCTCCTCTCAGGACGTGAGGTTCATGGACTCAGCACCAAATACACCCAAGGGACCAGTAAAATGCAACAAACCTCCAAGGACCCACGACTCTCATAATTTTCCTCAGTTCTTCAGTTCTTAATGGCTACTTGGAGAGTTTTCAGCAGTGTGTAAACCAGAGGAAGATTTCACTGAGCGCCTGAAAAGAAGCATGCCTGCTTTTTAAGCTCTCTTTATTTTACAGCTTACAGAATAAGTGACATTGATATCCTCCAATTTATACTGGGCATATAGGAAAGGCAGTATTTTCAATATGAGGATTTGAGGATGGACAAAGTTTCTCCTCACATCCCCACATTCCATTTCTCTCATCAGCCCCTGGGGACTTGCATCTCTCCTCTTAAAATAAAACTTTTTCCATTC